CTACTGCATCTTCTGAAAAAAATGCAGCGATTGATATATAGTTTATTTATAGTTATTTTCAAAGCTTCAATGTACTGTCATTATACAATAACTTCATTATTGTTTATTTCATTCTAACAAATAAGTTCTTATTAAAAACTAACCAAAATGAAAAATAATTTGCTTATAATTTCCACAAAGGAGAGACTTTGTGTTGTTTTCAAACAAAAGGAAATATATTGGTATCGGCATATCGGATATCGGCAAAAAATCCAATATCGTGCATCCCTAAAATAAACCAAAATCAAAAATCATGTGTGATTAAAAGCAATGCATTCTTACAAAATAAAAACATGCAAAACATATAAATCACATCATTTTGAACAAAAGCTTGAAATGCAAAGTGAAGGACTTGGGAAGGGCTTAGGGCAAAAACAAAAAATAAGTGCTTCTCGAACGGAAGGACACATCCTTGTAAAGGCTGCATGTATAGGCTGCCACATCATAAAGCTCTGTCGAAGGATGTCTCAATCTGAAGGATCCTTAGTATATAGATCCTTATTGTATACAGTGTGAATAAGTGTCGGACATACTACATTTGTTATGTTATTGTTGTCATGTAACTTACCAGCATCAGCTGTGTCACTTCACTGCCATTCACAAATTGTCTCACATGGCCTCATGGGATAGCAAAGCACCCATTAGATGGACATTTCAGAATGTAATCTGGGGGCTTTTTGCCTATAATTTATGAATACTATGAATTTGGACATGCTACTTTGTTCACATACTGTTTTTTTTTTTTTTTTGCTTACTAAGCAGGGAAGTATGCAATTTCAGATATGAATGGAAATGCTAACAGACTCCTTTCTTCAGATACAGTATTATAACAAAGCTTCTCTACTCTTTCATGCCCCCTGCTGGAACCCAAATAGTGTTAACACAAATCCACCTCACTGTGCTAACAATGCAGGGTTATTAGCACATCTTGAGAGTATTCAGTTCTTGTTCTATCCCATAATACATATGTGCCGTGTCGGTTTGTGGAGCTTTCAGAGGAAGCCTCCTGGCTCGTCTCTGTGGCACAGGCAGAAAAAAATGGTTCTGTCTCGATTCCACCCTATAATCAGAGCTTTTAACAGCTCTCATTTTCTGCTGTATATATAACTGTAATTGTCAGGCAGTACTCCCATGGCAATGCATATGTTCTGCCATTTGCAGGAAATGTCAGAGCAGAACTGTGAGGAACCAGAGAAATTTACTCAAACGCATATAACACGAAACCTGCACACAGTATGACTAAATCATGTCATTTGAATATGTTTGCTAAGGAAAATCACAAAAGCCAACATTTATTTTCATGAAATTGGAATGAGCAAATATGATTAAAAACGACTTAAATGTCAACGAGAGCATATTAATAAAGAATATAAATATACCCTAAAAGGCTTTCACAAACACACATTTCTCGATGCTGCATTGATATGACCTATAATTGTAATTGTATACCAATATAATAAGAATTATTTGTGTAAGGCCTATTTCTTAGCTTTTCCTGACAAACTTTCATAGTGACTGAGTTAAGATTTAACAAAATAACTTGGGCTTCAAAACAAGTCTGAAAGGGAATATACTGTATAACAGCTCGTAATATATTCTTGACCTAAGGTTCACTTGTTTTATTGCTTTGCTCTGCAATACAACAGTTCCTTCCCAGTGAAAAAAGCTATACAAAAATAACTGTAGAATGGCCATATACTCTCATAAAAATGTCACACTTCTGTTGATCAAATATAATGTCACCTAGTTGTGCCATGTGCTGTACTGACAAATACATTGATACGAGGGTTGAACTGTGATCTGTCTCGTGAGGATGCTTTCAGCTAGACAGACACACTGAATGTCCTCAGGCTGGTGGTTACAGCTTTTTCCAGAGCTCTTATAGGAACTAGATGACCCTTCAGGGAAAATTTTTATTTATTAATTAATTCATTCTTTTTTTTACTTTTTTATTTTTTTTGGTTTCTCATCTGAAGAGCAGCCATTTACCTTTATTTGGTACAAAAACAGAAACACAGAGAAAAGTCTTTCACAAACACACATTTATTGTTAATGGAGTCCCTGTGCAATGGATCATGGTACACAGAGAGCATACAACAGAGTACAGGCAGCTAAATGGGACCTGATGAGTGATATTTATTCACATTTGAGATCAGTTGTTGGCAGACTTACTCCTGTAACACCCATCACAAAACAGTAACAAGAGTTTATATCACGTTGCCGTTTCTGGAATGATTTTGGTGTTACTTTCCCATTTATATCTGTCCTGACTGATCTTAAAAATAATTTTGAACAAACTGGAAAAAAAAAAAAGTGTATTTCGTCCCTGAGAGTATTGCAAATTACATTAAGAGCTTAAACTCTCAACTACTCCAATAAACTCTTGTTACACAAAACAGTAACAAGAGTTTATATCACGTTGCCGTTTCTGGAATGATTTTGGTGTTACTTTCCCATTTATATCTGTCCTGACTGATCTTAAAAATAATTTTGAACAAACTGGAAAAAAAAAAAGTGTATTTCGTCCCTGAGAGTATTGCAAATTACATTAAGAGCTTAAACTCTCAACTACTCCATGAAAAACTCCCAGAAAAGTGCACAATTCGCACCAGAAGAGATATATATGGACTGAAATCAATTTATGCACCACTAGTACTAAGAGCATACAGTAACATGCGAATCATAAATAAAAGCATAGGTGAAATAAATCAGGAGTAACATGGTGAAAGTTTAGTATAAAATACAGGGACAGAATAAGTCATATTTATGATCTCACAAATGTTAAAAAAAAAAAAAAAAAACGACGAAAATGGAAAGTACATAAGTTGATATCTATAAACTGAAAATGAGCACAGATCATTCACTGAAATCAACCATTATGGATTAAGATAAATAACAGAAGGATTTGAGATAAACAGTAGGAATAAATTACATATCAGTTCCTCACATGCACAATAACTGTTACATTGTGTCTTGTGCTGTGCAAAAATTACAACAGTAAAAACTGATACAGTACAGCTCAAAAGGGTCTCCTAAACCCCCGCCACCACTATTTATAGACAAAGGGTTCACTACTTTAAGAATATATTTAATGCTCTGGCCCATAAATGTTCATTCCCAGCATCACTGCTTTACAATGCACAAGGTACTCCTTTATACTCATAGATGTTTAATAAAGCTTCAAGTACATGCTAGACTAAGAAAACAAATTCCATTCATCCACAAATCAAACCTTGAACATGTTAAATGAAAATTAAAGCAGCCAACCATTTAGCAAGTGTTTATTAAAACTATGAAACTAATCAAACTAACAAAAAATGTGTTTAACAATGTATTTAATAAATTATCTTCAGCATATACAGTACACTTTGTTATCCTTTAGGATCCAGGAAAGTCACTGAAAAAGTATTATTATATAAAAGTAAAAAACAAAACAAAAAAAAAACTTAATGTTAATAAACAAACAAACAAACAGAAGTATGTATTGAAAGATGGTAGTGAATGATCCATTTCTTCCAGAATACTGACGTCCATCAATAAAGTGCATAACTCAAACAGAAGAATTGAAATTAGATATAGAACTCATTAATGAACAGAAAAAGTGAACAAACTGCATTTTATGTTATATAAATTAGATCAGAAAAGTATATTTTTGACTTACTAAGATTTCTTTCTTTCTTTTTTTATATGAAAAAATGGGGGGAGGGGGGATAAACATTCTACAGATGCATTTGTTCCATAACAACACATTTATTCTAATAATTATTCTATAGCGTCAGGAAATAAATATATGGGTACATGTAGACAATTAAAATATAGTTATTTTCTAATGGTAGTCTTGGTCCCAAAAACTTAAATGTTTTTCATGTTTCATTCTTAATCATATGATCAACAACAACTGCAACTAACTTAGTCTCTGAAATCAATGTCCTAGTTACTCAGTGGATAATAATTAAAGGAACAGTTCACCCAAAAATACAGATTCAGACTTTATTTACTAACTCTTGCAGCTCTGAAGGGCCTCTGCTGCACAGGTTTTCATTTAATGTCAAACTAACCGAGCCAGCGAGAGTTTGGCGGAGCATCAAAAGGACTTCTAATCACACCACCTCATTCAAAAGCCCTGGGCACTAATCCGAAAAGAGAGTCTACCAGTAAAACAGTGACCACTAAAGGCTAATTCACCCCGCACCACAGACTAGCGCCATTTCAAGACATTCCAAGACCCCACAAATGCAACATGTTCAATAGACGACCAACAGACAACAACACACGGGTCAGACAAAACCCGACCAACGTGTGTTGCCATTAGTCGGTGTCTGTCGGTGTAGTGTGAATTGGCCTTAAGAGACACTCTGAAACTCATGTGACTTTCTTCCATGGAACACAAAATGAGAATTTACACAAAGGAATTTACTATCTACTCTTTTCAGTAAAATTAAAGTAAAAAGGACCTGGACTATCAAACTTCAAAATTACAAATAGTGCACGATAAAAATATCACAAAGTATATTCCAAGTGTTCTGATACAAAACCATGTGTCAGGAACACAGACTGAAATATAGTGCACAAGTTATGCTTCTTTTTTTTTTGTTCAATATTGTGTGTACTCTTTGAAGTTCCAGTCTATATCCATTGCAAACGGGTGGAAAAGAACAACCAGTATGTTATTCAAAAACGAAAAGTCAAATAAAAAATACTAAGAAGAAAAAAAAGGACCGAATCAGATTTTTGGGTGAACTAACCCTCTAAATTATATTCTTTTGTTTGATTTCCAAACATCTGCTAAACTTAATTAATTTCCATAATGAAAATTGTTTAGCGATGTAGCATATCTTGTCCACTCAGCGGTGCTACTGGTAGACTGTTCTGAGATCAGCTGAGAAAATCTCCCAGGTTATTAACCGCATTTCCGGGACCCATTATTGAGCATCCTCTCCTCTCACCTTTCTTTAACAGGCTCAAATGAAGTTATTGCTAATCTGACGCTGATGTTCGAATAAATCCTCAGTTTCAGCACTGTAGGCATCACCTGTAAAAGTGTATCAGAATTTAGACACTAGCATACTTGAGCATACATACATATATCATTCATTGCTATGGGGATCATACCTGCATGACAGCCATACATAAACACTCTGTGTCCATCATATTTACATCGACAACGCATGACGTTGTTCATAAAATCTGATTCAGCCATGTCCAGGGATGGATTTACCTCAACCTGACAAAACACACACAAGAATGAATAGAGCTCTTCAGTAATGAGATCAATTTGTAGGGCAAGGATAATTTGCGATGGGTTCCCTCAGCAATTACTAATGGGTTAAAAAAAAAACTTAATAGGGTCTCTGGTTAACATGACTTTCACTTTTTCTACTACACCAAAAATCAAACACAGGTATACCTCAAACATTTTTAAGCTGCCCCTTTTTTTATAAACCACAATTGCTACCAAGTTGCTACTTAAGAAGAATCTAATTTAATTAATGCAATATTAAAAGTAATATAATACAGTACTATAATTTAATAATTTACTATAATACAAAAATATGCTACAATACTAATTTACTATAATTCAATATAATAATTTACTATTATAAATAAAATAAAATTATATGATATTATATTATTATAAAGAACTGTAAGGATGGGTGAACAGCATTAAATATAGCTATTGGTGTCATTTAATCATGGCATTGTAAAAGTTTCACAGTTGCAGACATGCAGAACCAACAAGGATGTGGAGCTTTTAAAGAAATGTTATGCAATCAGATTGCTCATCAAAGCACTTTACCAATTGGTTCCACCAAATCAGGCTCCCAAATTACTGTTATATAGTCACAATATAATAATTTATTAGTATGAAAACATGCTGTTTAAGCAGGGTATGAAGTCAAACGAGTTTCTTTCAGCTACATTATTAATGTGATTATGCCTACTAGGCTTAAGAACATTTTAAATGCTGAAACAACAGTTCTTTTATTTTATTTTTGCCATTACTGTGGAAATATTTTTCTTAGTAGCCAAAGGTAATTATTTTGTCAGCACATTCAAATGCAAGTCTCGCTTATCTTTTTTTCTTTGCGCTTTTAATGACAGTGTGCAACTTTAACTCTGGACTGTGGAGATCTGGGTCTGTCTGACCATATGTTTGAGCGAGAAAGAGCCTGTAAAACAGGCGGGCATAAATTCCTCTGAACCTAATTGACCATGTCTAATAGAGGGCCTAATAGCACGCCTTGCTCCTCCAGCAGGGAATGCTTAACATTGGGTTATTTTGGGTGTAGAATTAAAGACAAGCAACTCAAAGAAAAAGCAACAGGTTTGCCTTGATCATCAAGTATAGATGCTTCATTTATACAGCGCCTTTGCTCGGATGGGTTGGCATGGAATAGCTGGCATCACTCAACATGGAGATGGGAGCTCTGACCTTTGAGTATCACCACGGCTCGTCGCTGTGCCATACATAGCAGCAGCCCGATGCTGGTTTGTAATTAGCATCTGCCAAACATGCTTAAAATACATGCAAATCTATCATGGCGACATTTCGAGCAAATAAATCTTCAAAATGGTCAAGGCACAAAAGGTACACTGTAATTAAAACAGAGCTTCACGTCAACCTATATTTTATGACTGGGATGCATAAAAGGACTCTTGATTGGCCCCTAAAGCGGCTCTTTGATTGACTGGTTCTGCATGTGAAGCTCAGCTGCGGAAGTTTTCACAGTGCCCACAGTGATTTGGATGATTAACATGTTCCAAGGTTAATGACAGAGAAAAAGTGGCTAAACTGCATCCTGAAAAGAGAATCTACTCTTCAAGGAATAGTGAAAAAAGTTTTGTGCTATGACTGCCGCCTTTCAAGGTTCAGATGTTCTGAATCATTTCACCTGCATGATGTAGTCTCCGGGTCTGACATCAGTGATGTCTATCCACTGGCAGTCGATATCGTGGCGGTAAGTGTCCCAGCAGCCCACCGAAATGCCTTGATCTCCGTAATTGTAACACGAAAAGCGTTTGTGAAGTCCTGAAGAAATAAAAAACAAAAACAGTTGTGTGTAGTTGCACTTGTAAATTATGAAAGCCCCCGAATTGAAGTTTCCGCTACTGAATAAAAAATAAAAAAGGTAATTGCGACATCTCACAATCCTGATTTTTTTTCTTGCAATTCCGATTTACATCTTGCAATTCTGACTTTCGCAGTTACCTTTTTTTTGTATTATTAAGTGGCAGAAACGGGCTTCTATATAAACCAAATGCCATTCATGTAAGATTTAACACAACTACACTTTTACCATCAGGGCAGTAGGTGTCTTCCAGACAGAAACTGGCTTTGTGTCCTTCGGCCACTCGGCTTCCGTTGAGTGTGAGGAGGTCATAATGTGTGAACACTTCAATGCTGTGATAATGCCTGAATCAAAAATATTCACATCAATAAATGTCGGCAGAATCAGAATTCAGTGGTGATTACCAAGGCAAGAATCATTACTACTATTCCTTTTTTTAACAACAATAATCCCATTTAAATCTAAAAACAAGTTGGGTCAAAAGTAATCTAAAAGTAATCAGAATACATTACCTAAACTGAGTAATCTAGATTACATTACTACAAAATCATTAACAGACTACAATTTGTACTTAATCTACCCAGCACTGCTGGCAACCACCCACAACACCCTAGAGACATGGCAGCAGTTTTGCACCAACTTTATTCCAATATGTAAACATCAAGTTGACTTATATTTCATGCTGGCTAGTGAACATGGGAAGAACAAAGGTTCACTATGGACCACTGCCTAATGACCTCACTGCTCCTACATGAAGGTGTTGGCTGCTACTGCAACACCCTTTCCAGGAAGTTGTTGTTATGCTGACAGGGTTACACTTGCAGAGCTGTTTATTCAGCTCGTCTGAATAGATGGCTTTCAAACGCCAACTTTGCTGGTGTTGTTTTAAAAGATTAATAAAACAGGATTGGCCTGTGAACACGCAAAACCCACAACTCCTCCACAACAGAGCGCCTTGTTCCCACAGAATGGTTTTGCAATTTTTTTCAGAACACATGTAAAGGGAGTGGAGGTGCTCAATGCAGCAAATTAATCTAAAAGATGACGGCAAGCTTGCTGACCACCCATGACCAGTTTTAGAAATATGAGTGTTCATTCCTTTCATTGCAAGTTAAAATTACTTACTGAACTGAAAGGAAATGTAACCACAAACACTGTCTTAGCAAAAATTGAGTGTCATACGGCAGGGTTATTCCTGCATTATTTGGATCCATGTGCTGTCTGCATTAAGTACCCCATTTATTAAAAGAGTACATGCAAAAGCTGATCCTGAGTGTTACAGTTCGGACCAAAAACCCTCTGCATGTATTAACCTAGAACACTGCCTAACACTTGATGGCTGCTCTGTCAATTCTTCGTCTTCAATTAGAAACCTAGATATGCAATTTGATAGCAATCTTACCTTGAAAAGCCATGTTTCTAGCATTTGTAAAACTGCATTTTCCATCTTAAAAATATATCTAAATTATGACATATGCTCTCAATGTCAAATGCAGAAATGTTAATTCATGCATTCATGACCTCAAGGTTAGATTATTGCAATGCTTTGCAATGCTTTGCTCTGCGCGCTTATTAAACTAACTCCAGCTGGATCAAAATGCAGCAGCTAGAGTTCTTACTAGAACCAGGAAGTATGACCATATTAGACCGGTTCTGTCAACACTGCACTGGCGCCCTATTAAACATTGTGTACATTTTAAAATCTTGCTAATTACTTAGCTTCTCAGTACTTATGCGAGCTCTTAATGCATTATAGTCCTTCACGTCCCCTCCGATCTCAAAACTCTGGCCATTTGTAAATCATGATGGACGATGACATCGGGGGGGGGGGGGGGGGGGGGTGTCCAAGGCAGAATTTGAAGTAAAACCATGGCTAATTTTCATAAGAGCAGTATTGTTTGTGTGCGTTGGTGCTTTTATTCCAATGTTTAAAATGGCTGAATGAACGGTGTATTCTGTGGGTAGGGGGTGTGCCTGAAGCATGAAACCGTATGCAGAAATGCACGGAAAATAAATGACGCGTTATATGGAACCACTTAAAGGACATGGTTAGCTGCTTGCTAGCGGTAGACTGTTACATTACAGTACATGAAAGTTCACTTCCCACATAAACAGAGTAAGGAGAGATGACTGATAGGACAATGGCGAATGATTTGCAGATACTGAGCACCACTGACAAATATCTAATCTTGTAAAATGTGTGGTAGTGGCAGTACCTACCAGTGCTCAACATCGTGATGTCTGTCAGCCATCGGCGATGGACGATGGCATCGTCTATCGGCACAACCCTACGTGCGGGTGGCAGATCCTTTTCCTATTTAGCACCCAAACTCTGGAACAATCTACCTAACACTGTTTGGGAGGCAGACACGCTCTGCCAGTTTAAATCTAGATTAAAGACCCATCTCTTTAACCTGGTTTACATATAACACACTATCACATTTCTATAATTCAAATCTATTAAAGGTTTGTTAGGCTGCATTAATTAGGTCAACCAGAACCAAGAAAATTTCCCATAACACCCGATGTACTTGTTACAACATAAGAAGAATGGAATCTACGCTAATATTAATCTGTTTCATTCTTATTCCAAGGTCACTATAGCCACCCAAATCCAGTCCGTATCCAGTCCATATGGTGGATCAGCACCTAGAGACAACCTCTACAGCCCTGAATGTCAGTGGTGACCATGTTAACTAGATGAGCCCTAGAGACAGATCCCCTGTGAAGACCTCATCAACTTGACAGCCATCGATACAAGACCATGAGAACCAGACGAGTCAAGTCAACTTTAAGTCAAGTCACCTTTATTTATATAGCGCTTTTAACAATACAGATTGTGTCAAAGCAACTGAACAGCATTAATTAGGAAAATAGTGTGTCAATAATGCAAAATGACAATAGTAAACACTAATTTTTCAGTTAAAAACAGTTCATCATTGAATTCAGTGATGTCATCATCCAGCTCAGTTCAGTTTAAATAGTATCTTTGCAATCATTTGCAATCAAGTCAACGATAT